CGATTTTCTTCTTCTTCCTCGGATTGGCTTGGGTTTGGTGTTGTTCCGTTCCAAGTTAAGGGGAGCTAGAATTTCCATTGTTGAATGTTGAATGAAGTATGTGTTTGGTGTTGATTGAATTGTTGGCTGTTTGTGAAGTAATTTGAGTGGGTTTGGTTGAAAAGTTGGGTTTTTGAGTTATTTGTAGAATGTGGTGATTTGTGAGATTTCATGGATGCATGTTGTTTTCTTGATGTTTTTGTGTTGCATGTGGTTGGTAGTGATGTACATGTGGAGTTACATGTGCTAGATTTTCTTTGATTGCAAGTTTTTGATGAAATTTTTGAAATGGGTGTGCTGATTTATGAATTCGCACCAGGTGCGCCTTCATGGCGTCAAGTGGGCATTCATCAGATGCCTAAGTTTCACATTCACATTGGGCGCAAGATTGGTTGTGTTGGGTGCGAGATTGGTTGCGTTAGGTGTGAAGTGTGATTAAGGTCTCTAGGTGAATGATGTTGGGCGTGGAGGAGGTGGCGTTGGGAGTGATATTAGTAAATGGAGTGTTGGAACCTCTACTGATATGGCACGGGGCGTGGCACTTATTACACCGGGCGTAATTACCCTTGTAGGTCTCTACCTGACCTACACCAGGTGTGACACTTACCACACTAGGCAAGATTGCTTTGGGAGTCTCTGCCAAACCAATGCTGGGCAGAATTTTCTCTGCCCCGGTAACTTAGTTCATAATCAAGTATTGGAGAGTTATAGTATTTGGAGGATAGTCGATAGGCTAATCCTATAGGTGGTTTAGTTAAGCTAGTTAATGTCGTGGTAGGCCTAGATCTAACTATTCTATCCTCACATAATGTTATATTTCCTTGTTTAAGTGGCAAAATCTGAGAGACCGTTATCATGTTGTGGATTCATATCCAATTTGTTGTTGATTTAACAAGCCCAAAAATATCACTGTGTTGTCGGTTTACTAGGATCTAACCACTTAAACTACTCACACTGTGTTGTAGGAAATCTCCAAGTTGAAATGTGTGACGACGCATATAGATGATGTGTTGAATTGTGATGACATGTGTTGTTGTGATGAATTCCGTGTTGAAATATAATGAGTTGTGTTGTATGTTGTGATGCTTTGCTGATTGATTTGGATGAAATGATGATGATTTTAATGTATTCAGTGTTGTAATTATATATATATGAGTTATTTATTTTACCTAGCTAACCCTTATACCGCATTAACTAAGGTCTTAGAGGAAACTCAACACTCTATCTTAAAAGTCAACTTCTTAAGAAAGGTCTTCAATAAATTGGGCTAAAGCATCACAACACCATATCCTCACAATGGGATATTTAACTTTTAAAATAATCTCTCCTTTAGTCCTAAGTTAACCAATACACCTCAACACCATGCCTTAAGCATTCTCAACACAACTACTAAAACATACAACTTTCTCTACATTTCAACTTTCATTCACCTTACAACTTTAAACAACTTAAGAAAACCACATATATCATTCTAGATCCATATACAATGCATTAGAATCATATAGCTCCATTCACACCAAGCGTAGGTTGAGTGGTGTCAGGCGTAGGCGAGTTCGAGAGCTATTTGTCTCAATGACGTTGGGTGTGGGTTGTTTTATGAAATTATGTTGTTTGGTTGATGAAATGGTGAACATTTAGATGGTAGATGCATATCTCATATGTTGTATATTGATATATGTCGATAGTTCTTTATACATTAATTTGAGATTATGTATATTGATGATTATATTGTTGCAATGTTGAAGCGATGGTGTTGAGAATGCTTAAGGCATTAGGGTGTGTTATGTTGATCAAATTAGGACTAAAGGAGAGGTATTTTAAAAATTTAGATATCCTATTGCGAGGATATTGTTATGGTGCTCTACAAGTCCAATTGTTGAAAATCATTCTTAAGTAGTTGACTCTTGAAATGGATAGTTGAGTCTCCTCTAAGACCTTATTTGATACGATATATGAGCAAGGTCGAGGCATACTATCTATAAGTGACCACAATATAGGGGTCATATTGAGTTATATTGATTATAACTGACCAATGTTGATTCGTATGAGGGGCAAATCGAGTTATACATGTATAAAATGACCAAATGAGTAAGATATAAGGTCAAAGGCCAAAATTCCTAACTAAGTACCAGAAGGAGTGTGGTGTTTGAAGGGTATTCAACGGACTAATCTCATAAGAGGCTTAGTTATGCATGTTAATGTCGTGGTAGACTCATACCTAAGTTATTCTACCCTGAAAAAGATACTAGAGTTTCATAGTTTAAGTGGCGAATTTTGAGAAATCATGTTGTTGTTAATTTTTATCCAATTTGGTCATTGATCTAGCAGGTGTAAAAAAATCGTATTGTTGTTACTTCGGTAGGGTCAAGTCATTTAAACTGCTCACATTTATTGTGAAAGATCTCTGTAATTGAATGTGTGGCGACACATGTAGTTGATGTAATATGCATATGATGTGTTGATTGTGGTGTTGTTCATATGCGATGTGGATTTTTTGTTAAATGACATGGTTGTGGTGTAAGTTGAAACTATTGTGATGTGATTAAGTTGTTTACCTTTTTAAGGTTGTTGAATGTCATGTTGAGGTGTTATTATTGTGTCACTAGGTTGTAAACCATGAAGTGTTGTGTTGTGTTGTGTGGTTTACATGATAATGTTGGTAATATAGATGCATTTACTTCTTTACACTACAAGAAAATTGCCATATAGTGACACACATTCTATAGTGACACAATATGTGTCACTAAAAACTACTTTTACCTACATAATAAATATAATATATGTTGGTATATTGTTAAAAAGTGTGAGTATAAGCTATAGTGATACACAAAATATGTTGTTAAATCTCATTCAAAATCAACACTAAAATTGTGTGTAGTTATATGCCAAATAGATATATACCTACATATATTATACTTATAGTGACACTTTTTGTATGTCACTCTATGTAACATTTATTGTAGTGTTATTTATATGGTTATTCTTTTGAATACTATTTAACTTACCCTTGCATGTTTCTTAGTGGTTAGATTACGGTGATCATATTTATGTGAGCAGAGTAAAGATAGGCCAAAGACAAAGGTTGAATTGAGGATGATGTTAGGATAATAGAGGATGATATTCGTGATATGTTAGTTCACCATCCATTGCCAATTGCATGACAATGTTGATTCTAAGTCTCCTCCCTTTTTATGTTAAAGAATATATAATCTCATCTTTTGATAGATTTTAATATATGATATTTTAACCATTTTTTTTTATTTCCTTTAGGGTTTTGTGACAAAAAAAAAACTATAAAAACATCTTTTGCACTCACATTCTCTTAAAGATATAAACCCTTCTTTTATGTTAAAATAAATACTTTTATCCCTTAATAAATAAAAATATATTACATTTTACCAATTAATTTTTTGATTTACATATTTAATTATAACTAAACTACATATTTAGTTATAACTAAACTTTATAATAAATTATATATACAAATAAATACTATATTTAGATATATAAATTATATTTAATATTGATTAAAAAAAGACTTGAGTGCTAAAGATGTATTAAAAAGAAGTTACAAGTCCCTCAAAACCTAAAGTAACGAATGTCGTGAATGTTTCTCAGCCAAAGGAATTTGACCACTAAAATGTAGTTTTAATTAACTTAATGGTTAACACCAGGAGTTTGCTCAAGTGGCTTATGAAGAAGGGTTCTTAGGTGTCAATGGAGGATTGTTCCTCTATGATGAGGTTTGTACTAGTGAGACCATTCGGCCACCAGGTGATCGACACCCGATCAGCACCTGGATGGCCGAACCAGGTAGCCGACAACTGATCGGCCACCGAATGCTCCATAAATACATATCACCCCTAATCGAGGATTAAGGATTACCTTTAATCAAGGGTTAAGAGTTAATCACACCAATAAGCCGATTAGAGGCGTATGACCTAATATGGTAATCCTGTTTCAAGGCCCAGGGAAGTCAGGGCCCATAAATGTCAGTATAAATAATTCATGTCACGAGGTAACGTCACTGTTCATTAATTACTATTGATATTTGTGCTTATCCTGACTTGAGCGTCGGAGTGCCTTTTGCAGGTACCTCCCCTTCACCGGAATATTCGATCGGAGCTCCCGTTCGGCCCTCAGATTACGAGAAGATTACTAGTGTGCCCTTCAGATAGGTACATTTTGGCGCCCACCGTGGGGCCGAACCAAGACAGTTGTAAAGATTAACTGAACAAAGAAATGGCGATAACGAGAAGAACGAATACGGAAGATCACCAAACCGCAGAAGAAGAACGTGTTGAAGTTGTAGACGAAACCGATCTCTCCGAGACCATTTGTCTACTGAAGCAAGAGATGGCAGTAATGAAGCAACAGCGGGAGAAGGATGCAAAAGAGCTTTCGGCCTTGAGAGTCGAAAACGAGGCATTGAAAAATCAAGATCCTTCATGGAAACCTACTCAAACCACCAACACGCAAACCCAAGGGTCATATCAATCCCATCAGATCCACATCTCAGCCCCTCATGCCTCGGCGATAACACCAGAAAAGTTCCCCTCGACCAGCCCACAGTTGGTCGTCCTACGGACTTGGCAACCATTGGATCGCACCGACACCCCTTCACCCCTTCCATTATGCAACTCCCTCTGATGGATAACTGGAAATCTCTACCTATCGATAAGTATGATGGTACAACAGATCCTGATGAACATCTTGATGTTTTTATGACGCAGGTAATGTTGAGTACCACAAATGATGCTGCTTTGTGCCAGATTTTTCCAACATATCTCAAAGGCAGGGCCTTGAGTTGGTTCACTCGACTCCCTCCCAACTCTATCGACTCGTTCAGCACTTTGTCGTCTCAGTTCACTATTCAGTTCGCCACAAGTCGTCCTCATAGCTTGACGTCTCTATCGCTGGTCAGCCTTCGGTAGGACAAGAAGGAGTCGCTTCGGACTTTCATGGATCAGTTCAACAAGGTAGCCTTGGAGATCCGAGACCTCAATCCAGCTGTAGCACTCCATCATCTCACAACGGCCTTGAAGCCCGGACCGTTTGTCAATAGCATTTGCAAGAAACCTCTTTCGGACATGAACAACCTACGAAGGAGGATTGATAAGTATATGCAAATGGAACAGCTGGCTGAATATCGCAATCAGGCTCGAGCTGAACTAGTGGGCAAACCCGAAAAGCAAATAGAACAACCATACAGGGGGCGAGGAAAGGAGTTAACTCTTCGAGACCGACCCACACGGGGTTCGAAATACTCTCATTATACTCTCCTCAATGCAAGCCGAGCCACGGTGCTTGAGCAAGCTCTGGTACCGAAAGTGCTGGCAGTTCCGAAGAGAGCTTCTACTCCACCACGCGCTGATACTAGTAAATCTTGCAGGTATCATCGCAATCCTAGACATTCTACCGAGGAGTGTGCGGCTCTCAAAGACAAAATTGAAGATTTGATCAAACAGGGACAACTTCATAATTTCGTTGATCGGCCCGACTCGTCTCGATCTCGCCCATATCAACCTCGACACCCCGACCGGCATAGGCAAGACCTTTTTGATAGACCTCGTCGCGAACGAAGCCGATCACGAGATAGGAAAGATGAGCCTACAACTTCACATAGGCGAGTCATTAACACAATCGCAGGAGGATTTACTTGAGGAGGCCCAACCTCTTCGGCCCAAAAGAGGAATTTGCGCACCGTCCGATCGGTCCACGCTGTTGACAGACAGCCGACTCAGAGGTTACCAGCTATAACTTTCACCGATGCCAATTTCCAGGGCTTTGACCCTATGCAGGATGATCCAATGGTGATTAGCGTCGAGATTCACAATTGCATAGTCAAGAAGACATTGGTGGATCAGGGCAGTTTGAAGGATATCTTATATTAGAATACCTTCAAACAGTTGGGTATCTCTGAGAAGGAGCTCATTCCATATGATGATCCCCTAGTCGGCTTCTCAGGAGAAAGGGTAAGCACTAGGGGATACGTTAAGCTTTTTACTCGTTTCTATTTTGATGAGCAGGAGTATAAGGAAATCCAGGTGAAGTATATAGTAGTGCACGCCAATACGTCCTACAATATTCTTCTGGGTCGACCATCATTAACTTGTTGGGCGCTATCGTATCCACACCACATTTGGCAATGAAATTTCCATCTGACAACGAAAAAATCCTCACAATTCATGCCGATCAGAAGGCGGCTCGAGAATGTTACTTCGCTAGCTTGCGGGTAACTCCTGTTGAAGAAAAATAATCAAAGTCCAAGAGAGTTCATGTAGTAAACCCTTCGGCATCAGATAAGTCCTCAACTTGGGATCTGGATCCAAGAATGATTGAAGATGAACGAATAGAGTCAACCGATGAGAAAGTTGCATTCCAAATCGGCCCAGAGACGTTTCAAGTCACATACTTTGGGGCCAGATTGTCTGAATCGGATCGCCACGTATGAGGCAAAGTCATTCAGAAAAACAAGGATCTTTTCGCTTGGGTACCTTCGGATATGCCAGACATAGATCCAAATGTCATGTGTCACAAGTTGTCCGTCTGCCGAGAAGCTAGACCAATAGCTCAACAGAAAAGGAAGATGGGAACCGAAAGAAAACTGGTTGTTGAGAAGGAAGTTGCCAAGTTGCTTGAGGCAAAGTTTATTCGGAAAATACAATACACAACATGGCTCGCGAATGTGGTTATGGTCAAGAAGGCGAACGGGAAATGGCGGATGTGCACGGATTATACTAACTTGAACAAAGCTTGCCCAAAAGATGCCTACCCGTTGCCCAATATTGATCGTTTAGTCGATGGTGCCTCTGGACATAATATGTTGACTTTTCTCGACGCCTATTCAGGGTATAATCAGATTCAAATGCATCCATAGGATGAAGAGAAGAATGCTTTCATCACAAACTCGGCTAACTATTGTTATCGGGTAATGTCGTTTGGCTTAAAGAATGTCGGCGCTACATATCAACGACTCATGAACAAGATATTCAAATGTCAAATCGGCAGGAATATGGAAGTCTATGTAGACGATATGGTCGTCAAGTCAAAGGACTTTCACAACCATATCACGGACTTGGTCGAGGTGTTTCAGTAGCTTCGACGTTATGATATGAGACTCAATCCCGAAAAGTGCACATTCGGAATCGTTGGTGGCAAGTTTCTTGGTTTCATGCTTTCAGCCAGATGTATCGAAGCAAATCCCGATAAGTGTCGAGTGGTGGTCGAAATGAGAAGTCCACAAAATGTAAAAGAGGTACAATGGCTGGCCGGTCGGCTCACAGCGTTGTCGAGATTTCTTCCATGCCTCACAGAAATAGCCAAACCAATCTTGAGTCTTATGAGAAAAGCAAACAAGTTCACATGGCCGGAAGAATGTGAAGCGGCTTTTCAAGCACTGAAATAGTGTCTCGGAACACCTCCAATCTTTTCAAAACCCGATCCTCAGTCGGACCTCATTGTTTACATGTGCGTTTCACATGAGGTCATCAGTGCGGTATTGATACAAGAGAAGGAGACTCAAGTGCCTATCTACTTTATCAGTCGAATGTTACAAGAATCGGAAAGTAGGTATCAACTACTCGAAAAAGTGGCACTCAGAATTGTTCACACAGCTCGTAGGCTTCGGCAATACTTCCAGGGGCACAAGATCGTTGTACGCACCGATTGCCCAATCGCTAAGGTTCTGAGGAAGCCTGAACTGGCAGGTCGTATGATGGTGTGGTCTATTGAATTGTCAGAATTTGACATATTGTTCGAACCAAGAGGCCCGATCAAGTCACAATGCTTGGTCAATTTCATCAATGAGTTACAGCCAGCCGGACTCTTTGAGAGTGATCAATGGATGATCCGTGTTGATGGTTCGTTTAACAATCAAGGCAGTGGAGCTGGAATAATTCTCGAAAGATCGACAGGCTTGGCGCTTGAGCAATCACTCCGTTTTGCATTCAAAGCCTCCAATAACCAAGCCGAGTACGAAGTACTGTTGGCGGGGTTAAGACTAGCCCGAGAAGTGGGCGTTCGGAAGCTTATCTGTTGGACTGATTTGAAAGTCGTCTCGGAACAAGTAAATGAGAACTTTCAGGTTAAGGACGCCCACTTGTTGAAGTATTATCATACTTTCTGAAATATGTGTCAATATTTCGATGATGCAATCGTGAAGCACACCCCCCATGAAAACAATGAAAGAGCCGATCAGTTAGCTCGGTTGGCAACTAGCAGTTGCAAACCTGGATAACTCCGAACCACCCTTCATTTTGAGCTCTCCTCACCAAGTATTGATACCATTGATTGTTTAGCAATTTTCGAACAACCAACAACATGGATGACTGACATCATACGCTTTATCACTGAAGGCACCAAACCAACATGCCCTTCGGCAACCAAAAAGCTTAGAACTCAAGCTGCGAGATATTCAGTGGTGGGAGGAGAACTCTACTGAAGAGGTTTTTCATCTCCACTACTCAAATGTCTCGACTCCAAACAAGCCAATTATGTATTGAGGGAAGTTCATGAAGGGATCTGTGGTTCTCACCCGGGGGGCAGAACATTAGCAGCAAATGTACTTCGGGCCGGCTATTATTGGCCGACACTCAAAACCGATTGCATGGAGTTTGTCAAAAAGTGCATTCAGTGCCAAAGACATGGCAACTTAATACATGCGTCAACTGAGCAGTTACACAGCATCAGTTCGCCTTGGCCGTTTGCCCTATGGGGAATGGATATACTAGGCCCTTTTCCTATCGCCAAAGGGCAGTGCAAGTTCTTGTTGGTAGCGATTGATTGTTTTACCAAATGGATTGAGGCCGAGCCATTAGCCACCATCACGCATTTGGCTAGGTAATAATGAACATTGTGAATTTTGAAGCAACAAGGATATTTAGTGAGACAATAAAAAACTGTCTTGGAAATTGAGGGTTTTGAATTTCTTTTGAAGGGTAAGAATGGAGATCTCGTTGTTACGATAATAGAGAATGATGTTCTTAATCTGACTGTTCACCATCCGTCGTGCACAACAATGTTGATTTTAACTCTCATTCCTTCTTCTAGATCTGTACTCGAAGCAGGGGCGGATCCATGTTTATACTAGTTATTGTTCATTCTTTTATTATTATTTTTTTATCTTTTTATTTATTTATAAATATTAATTTTTTTATAAAATATATATTATTAATATTAATTATATTTTAATTATCCTATTATATTTAATATGATAAAATATATTAATATTTTATTTTATTGTTTAATTATTTTTACTTTGTGAGAATAATTAATGCTCAATAAATTCTACTAAATAACTAATGGTCTATATTAAATTTTTAAAAATTCAACTGTTAAATTAAAAGTTCTTAATGTATTATACTCAATAATTAATGCTATACATTAAATTTTTGTAAATTCAACTGTTAAATTAAAAAAATTTAATGTATAAATCAAGTTTACAAATTTATAAAAAAATTGAAAATCATATGATATTTTATTAGATGGATTCAAAATGACATATAAATTATTTTTTTTATTATCTATCAATTTAAATTAATGAAATAGACTATCAAATAATTTTTATTTTTTTTAAGTTTTATAAAATTCATATTTATATATTAAAATTATTGAGCGATATAATACTTAATAAAAATTATACTAATATTATCAAGAAGAATAGATTCACAATGTATGAGTAAAACCATCTCAACCCTTCACTTATTTTGAATTTTTTTAACAATTTTTAATGTTTATTCATGATAAACCACGATTGCATGCCATGAGCACCCGACCCCCCATAAAATAAAAGTATCATTTTCTTGTTTGGATTTTGAGGTCGCCCAACAAGAAACAACAACTCCTTTTTCCTATATTACTCGGCAAAGACAAAAAGTAGTTCGAGGTTGAGGAGTTGAACTACCCAAGTGGATCAAATGTCATTTCAATTCATAAACACATCTTTCTTCCCTACCATTTAACATTCATCTCTCCATTCTTGATCTACACTCTCCTCATTCACATCTCTCAATGGCCGGTTTCTTCTCCCTTCTCAGACGCCTCTACCTCACCGCCTACAACTTCACCCTGCTCGTTGGATGGTACTCGCTCCCAGTTTCTCTCTTCAGATTTTTCTCTTTCACCACCAACCTCCTTGTTTCTGAATGTAACTGTTCAAGTTTGTGGATCTGCACAGGTTTCAGGTTCTGTATATTGTTCTGAGGACGCTGAAGGAATCGGGCCATGAAAACATATACCGTGCAGCCGAAAAGCCTTTGCTTTTTGCCCAAACCGCAGCTGTGCTTGAGGTATTTTTCTCCAAAAAAGAACTGATTTTTGTTGACTGTGGAGATACCCTTCTGTTTGCTTGATTGGATAATGTCCAAGTTTTATTGTGGGGATTAACTTAAGTTTCAACTTTTGTTTCATATGGTTGTTGGTGTGGTGTTGGATTGCATGGCGTGCTAGATTCTTCATGGTTTGGTAGGTGAGTAAACCTTTGTTCATTGTCATTAAGTCATTAGTTAGGGTTGCTAAAAATGGGAATCAAGTATAGACCAAGTTGGTATCCATTTCCTTATCATTGTTACGAATTTCTCGAATCAAATAATGACAATTGTTTATTATTATTATTATTTTTGTAAAAATTCCGGGGCAAGATATTCTTAGTCTATTTAGTGCAGGAAAAAAAAAAAAGCATTCATATGTTTGAATTTGATGGTAATAATATAAGGAACTTGATCTTTGTCCACAAATAAATTATTTTTTATATCTGTGATTTATGAGTTTGCTCTCTTTTTCAAACCCAATGATGAAGGGCTGGTGCGGTCTCCAGTAACAGCAACCTTGCCACAGATAGGTTCAAGGTTGTTCCTGGTTTGGGGCATCTTATGGAGTTTTCCTGAGGTTAAGACAAACCTGAACTTTTTATTTTTATTTTGCTTCCTTCAGTTAAATTAATTAAATTTTCAACCATATTGTTTTATTGAAAAGCTATCTATATCTATGAATGACAGACTCGGACTCATGTGCTCGTTACCTCCCTATTAATCAGCTGGTCTATCACCGAGGCAAGTTTTTTTGTGATTATTTGCTTGCATACTTGTTGTGTTTGTTCTTAATAACGTCTTTTTCCATTCCCACCTGTCTGTTTAAGTATTTTAAATTCAACTATCATAGATTCATAATGGAAAACAAAACTGCAAAAACAACTGTAGATTTATTACTTTGCAATAATGACGAGTGTAGTATGGTTGGTGGATTCCATGGCATAGAAGTTATTGGGGGGATAAATATCTTTGAAAGAGTTGGCTGGCTATTAAAGTCAAGGAATGTACTTGGGTATGTGTGGTGGAAAATCATTTGGTCTTTAAGTCACCAATCCAGCCAGAAAAGAGAAACATTGTCACCTTCAAAACAGCATTAGTTACAGCATTTGGTAGTCAGTTTTTTTGAAAAGATCTCCTAGTTTGATGAGTAATAGTTCAAATATGCTATATGATTTAAACTTCCTGTAAGTTGATGGATTTTAAACTGTTTGTCTACAATAATCTTTGGGATTCAAATAATGTAATTTCTGAACATCTGCTTGTGCCGTACATATAGAGGATTAGAGGCAATCTAATAGAACATATACAAGAGGCAATGAAAAACTAAGAAACAAGGAAACAAACCCCAACAGAAACAAATCCTATCTAGCACAGTTGTCAATCCCAAGTAGCAGCGTGGCCCAGCTGACACTAAAAATTGCTATAGTAGGATAGCAGGTAGCAGGATGCCTAATATTTAATCAATTAGAATATAAAAATTAGAGGGTAAAACTTAGAAGAGAGCACAAGATAGTGAGGTCAAAGACCTGCTTTGAAATATTAAAAAACAGAACAAAGCAAGCACAAAGCAAGAAAGGGTGTGCTTGTTCAACCCATCCACCATGACCATGATTTATTAGACACCGGTAAACCTTACTTGATGGGGAATGGGAAGTGTCTATAGTATACCTGCAAGAGAGAGTGTCGAGGCCTTGTTACATTGGCAGATCACAAATCCTATATAATTATCCCAATCATCCTATCTAAATATTGAAGCCATTGCTTCAGTTTTTGCATGCTCTGAATCTGTATGCTTCAGCCAGGACCTCCTCGAATATGTGCAGTGCTCAAGGGGTCTATCATAGTCCTGGGATGTCATTGATATGGAACAAACAAAAGTAGCAAAATAGAGATTCATGATGGTAGTATCATTTAGAAGCATTTAGATAAAGTGTTAATTTATAGATTTAGGCTCTCTTTTGATTAACTTCTCTCTTAGCAAAAGAAAATATAGGAAAAATGAAATAAGTTTTACCATAAGTTAAAAATTTAACTAAGCCATAAGTTATAAAATATGTTTTGGAGAAGCTAATCGGAGAGAAATTTATTCAAATAGACCCTTATTGTTTATAAGAACCTCTAGTTGGTTATGTTAGGCAATGGGTTCAGTGACTGCAAAGCAAACTCTTAGGCTTGGTGCCCCATCTTCCCATACAATTCTTCTTTTTCTCTTGATAAAGATTAAACACATCTCTTTGTATTCCATGGAAAAGTAATTGATTGAAAAGGGAAGGGGACTATTAACAAAGATCAATATTGATTATCCCCTTTGTTGTTACAATTGTAGATCATTCGCTATTTTTTCTTTGGATTGAAAGAGGCATTTGGATATACCCCATCATGGCTTTTGTGGCTCAGGTATGAAGTTTGAAACTTTGAATTTTGAGCTTGCTCTATGTTATATTGTAATTGTCAATTCTTATATTCATGTTATATTGACTGCAATTTTCTCTCGCAGATATAGCACCTTTTTAGTGCTATATCCAACAGGCATCAGCAGCGAAGTTGGTCTAATATACATTGCCTTGCCATTCATTAAGGTAAAGAATTAAAACAGCAAGTGTCCACAATGCTTTTAGAATCCTGTAGTGCAGGTTGGTTCGGTTATTTGTTCGTCATTTTCATGAATGTATATTTTCTCTTTTGCCCTTATGTTTACTAATCTTCAAGCAAGTCCAGTAAGAGGCTTCCTATAGACAAAGAGTGACTTATATGAAGTTTGGTCTAGTCAAGAAGGAAATTACATTCTCCACTTTTGTGAAAATTTTCACCCTGCATTGCCCTCAAGTTTCATGTTAGTTGATGTTTTGTAACCTTGACCACCTGCAATTTCTTGGGACTCCTAAAGTGGTAATAGAAAAATGGGAAGATACTTGATAAATTGTCACTAATGATTGACTGATATGGTATTTTTCAGGCATCTGAGAAGTACTGCCTAAGGATGCCTAACAAATGGAACTTCTCCTTTGATTACTTTTATGCTGCTATTGTTGTACTGGGAATCTATGTTCCAGGCATGAACTCAACATCTTTCTCACCTCTATTGTGCTTTAATTAACATTCCTGTTATCGACCTTGTTAACTCATTGGATTGCATAACACTATGCAGGTAGCCCTCACTTGTATAGTTACATGCTTGCACAGAGGAAGAAAGCCCTATCAAAATCAAAGAAAGAGTAGAGTAGCATCTGTATTGTAGACTTTGTAGTGTTTACTTTTGTCCTAAGGTAGGATATGGACATGTCTTGGTTTGGATTCATATGCGTAATCCTAGAAATTCTTGCTCATGTATGCTCAAGTCAAAACAGTGGAGTAAAAGAAATTAAATTTTATGGTCTATTTTTACTTTAATAATATATTTTATATGATTGTGTCAAATTGTATGACAATAATTAATATTGTGCATTGATTGTGTTTGCTAGGTTCACGTGCGTACTAGCTGGAAATAGAAAGATTTGGCATATAAGAAAAGCATAATACTAAGTAATGGATCAATATTTAATGAGAAATGCGATGATTGCTTTTGGGAATCGGTTTCTGGGAATTCAACAGAGTTAAAGTGAAAAGCTAGGTGGTCGACAATCGGCATACTATATTTTCCATCCTTGTTGTAGCCATCATTGGCCCGCGCATTATTAATATTATTTTCTCACTACCACCAAAATATTGAAAAAGAAATTCCTAATTAGTCGTAGAATAGCATTAGACTATTATTAGGAGTAATTATTTTTCTTCTAAAAAAAATTCATATAACACGGTCATATTTTTTTTATATATTTGCATTATTTTATTTTATTATTTAAAAAAAATGACTAATTAGATTAACTACCTTATTTATATATAATTATTTAAATTCATGATTAATTGAAAAAAAATGATAAACAAAATTATGATAATTAAACTTGTATATTAAATTCTCATTTGATAAATTACTCTCATTCTCAATACCTTTTATATATTTTATGTTTCTTAAACGTTAAAATTCAAACTTAATCAATCATAATTTTTTTTTTGATTTTTCAATGTAAAAAATTTCCATAATTATAAATTTAGAGTTCAAATTCGAACTTTTAACTTTTGACATGTATATCAAATCAATAAATTCAATAATAGTATATTTTAATTCACGTAATTCATTTTCATAAAGTTTCATCTTCGTAATTTTAATAATCTCCTCGATCACCGCATGGGTCTCAAAATGCACAAGGTGAAATAAATAGCTCCACAACACGAGAGAGGCTTTCAAATTAAATGTTGTCAATGACCATGAAACAAATATGAAATACCATCCTTGTATTTTGAGACCAGTTGGCTTTATAATGGTGGCTATAGTTAGAGTATTTAGTGTGATACTCATTTAACAGCTATTCATGATTTTTTAATACATATGTGAACATTTATTGGTATTCATTGATATTTAATAAAAATAAATAAAATAAAATAAAACTAAAACTAAATAACTTAAAAATATTTATTTATATTAAAGAATAATTTTGTAACATATTTATTCTAAAAATAAATAATTATGACACATTTAGTTTAAAAATAAATTAAGTCAAATTAATTTATATACAATGGAGCCACTAATACTAAAACTACAATAGCTTTAGGAAGGGGACTTGGCTTGGAATTAGCAAAGATATTTTGCCTTTTGAAAGTTGAAGGCTGAAAAAGATTGCTTGGAACTTATAGCTTGCATACAGGTATAAGAACACACATAAGAAAATGTATACCTTTACAAAATTCTTTAACGCATCAATCATTTTAAAAAATAAATAAATAAACTTTGGGCGTTGACACTCTTTAATCCCACATGCAAGAATGATTTTTTTTCTCTATAAAATGGTATAATAAATAGAAGATGCAACAACTTTTTTATTCCAATCCCTTTTAATCCAAATCATTCACCCTCTTCAATCACACAAGCAATCACCAAGATACAATCATTCATTGATCAAAACCCCTCTAAAACCGAGTCTTAAATCCTTGAAAATTCAGGACCATTTATTTAACTTGAAATTTACTACTACGATAAATTCTCGAGAGAATAAAAGACATTCTCCCCTTGCCTCAGATTATCCGATCAACAGGGAAGATTGCTCAGCCCCATACCTTGAACAGTACATAAATTATTGCTAGTTAAAAAAGTTCAGTTTGGAATTGGAAGGGAAACATAATTGATAACTGATATATAATTTATCAACAACCAAATATATTTAGTCAATCATTGCATGCATGTTCTCCTCAAGCACCTTATTTCAACATATCATAAATAATTATAAAATTGTGAACGGTGATACTTTGCCAAAATCACAACTTCTAATTTGTTATAAAAAGTCCCAACCAAGCAAATGCACCACGCTCAACTCATTTTGAATTAGGACCAAATTTTTTGACTCAGGAAACTACATTCAATATAACATTCTATAACCGGAACTGTCCTGTTTAGGGTAGTGATTTGTGAAGCTCAAGGTATGCAGATGTCAAGTTTCTCCATAGAAGTAGAAATTTACATTGTATTAAGCTATTTCAATGTCAATCTAAAACTGGGAATGATTCCTAAATCTCCTAGGGATGAGAATTTTCCATGTTAAAGTGGATAGCTAAGCTTTCTAACAAACTTGAGATTTCTTGAATTTGAAATTCCTAGCCAAAAATATGATCAGTCAAAGTAGACTGATTCAAAATTAGAACATGGGATAGATCAGATATGGTTTTCGATGCATTGTGACATTTTGTATGCTCCAAAACTATGAAATTTAACTGTTAGAAGTCATCACATATTAGCTTTCAATCCTCTATAGTTCCATTCAAAAACAAATTTTCTAGTTCAAGCTATGCAGATTCTAAGTCAACTGGCTCATGCAAGGACTTATGACAACACAACCACCTTTGTGGGTGGGATAATTAATATGCAAAAGAACCATGATGTTGTTAGCTATCTCAGATGCTATAAGTTAACCTGACTGAAATTAGTAATCTTGTTTTACTGGATTCTCTTTTAATCAGTTATAATTGGAAGGGGGGAAAGGTTAAAATGATGATGCCCATTTTAACACAGGGAAAAAAGTGGATTTGGCTCATTTTCTGTTATTTGTTTAAGAGGAAAGTTCATTGTATGAAGAGAATAAAGAAGCCTTTATTAGATCTTCAACAGAAGCAATGCAATTAAAATGGACTTGCACATATAAAACATTATAACACAAGAAAATAAAAATCTAGTATTTCACACATACAAGGAAATTACAGAACTAAATGGCATTAATATTTAGTGACGAATTAAAATAACTGTCATTTTCCCCTATATTTTGTTTAAAACTTTTGGTTATCAACACAAGAATAACATATTTGAGAGAATCAAGTTCCTTTTTGGAAGATCTTGACTTTACTAGCTTATATTATAAAATATAAATTAAAATAAATTCATTCAATCCAAAGAAATTCTCCCATTTACAATAGCCAATTGAATCGTTCAACAAGATAATATACTAAGTAGACACAAAATTAGTCAGACTCGATACTGTTCATACATAGTGTTTGGAACAGCTTCACTATGAGAAAAAATCAATTAATTTTCATGTTCAAGCTAAAGCAATAAATAGTTGCTTCTACTTTTTCATGGTATCACCATTATTTTGGGAATAGAAGTAATTCTCATGGTATCTAAACACTATAAATGGCAGGGTTCAGAAACCACTTAATAATTTAATCTAAGCAAATGATGGGTTGCTTAACTTCAATATGGTAAAACCAAACTTTCGAACATAATCATACAAGACATATGATGAGCATTCGCCCAACACACCACGGCTAAAGACTCGAGTCATAATCATTAATGAAATTTAACCATAATCGTGTTCATATGTGCTTGATAGTACATCTTTCCACACACTTAGTGCGTGTTTGTTGTTCATGCATTCTAAAGCACACTTAATGTAATTTTTCTCTTAGAACTTGATGATAATACAAACACGCCTTTTCCCATCAGCCGGAGTACGGTAGCCTGCAAGTAATTTACAAAAGATTAAATTAAGTTAGGATGAATAAACGGAGTAAAATAGTTAGCAAGAGAGTTTTTAACTACTATAAAATAAATAAACAAAAAAGTATTCAACTTATTAAATTTACGGGATCTTTGCCTTATGTGAAATTTCATTTTCGTCTTTTAGTTTTTTAAAAAATATTTCAAACCTTCAACTTATAAAATTCAATTAGCGCTCCAAAACAATTTTTTTTTTCTTTCAAATTTCATATGTAATTTTCAACTCTTTATATTAGGGAAAAACTTAAAAGGGGAACAAAATTCTTTTCATGTAAGAATGTGTTATTTTCATGTCAAAATTAAATTTTCACCTAAATAATTAATATTTCACCTTAGTAATAAATGTAATAGATTTCATTAAATGTATTACCTAAATAAAACTTTATGTATGATTTCAGAAGACCAATTAATTTAAGACAAATTTATTTTATTAAATAAGATTTGACTCCTTTAAAATGAGAAGATTTTACAATAAAAAATTAAGTTCAATAATAGTTATTGATTAAAAAAATTAATAATAAATATTATAGTTAATTCTAAATTTTATTAGACAAATATTTGATTATATCACAATTTTTTATCATTAATTTGTTAACCAACGATTATTAATCTATTTTATCCTCTAAAAAAATACCTTTCACTTTAAAAGAGTCAAATCTCATTAAATACACTTATGTAAAAATTATAAAACCAATTAATATTCAAATAAAAACGGCCATTAACATTATAAAAAAGTGTGAAATGAGTCTCAAGTAACTAACTATAAAAGTAAAAATCTAATATTAGATTATTATCTAACTATTTGTGAGATTCACTTTTTCATACTTTTCATAATGTTTACGACTCTTTGATTCATGAACAGTAAAATTCAATGCGATTTTTTTTATAATATTACTACAAAGTATTTTACCCAATAATATTCTCTATTAAAAAAATCTAGTTGATCACATATATAGAAAATTTAATAAGATAATTTTCACGTATTGGATTAGTAAATAAAATAATTAAAAATTGAGTCCCAAAATCTTTTTTAAAAAAATTTATCATTGTTTCGAAATGGACTAATCAATCATTGTAAAATTATTTTTAATATTAATTTTGTAAATATGACTATTTTAGAACTATTTACACCTTTAAAATTATTTATCATAGAGTCGTTATGTCTCATAATGACTTTAGTACCACATATCAAAAATAAAATTCAAGAAACCATGAGTCATGTAGCAAAAGTCGCTAAAACAGATAGCGACCCAACTAAAATCGTTACTAAATGTAGTGATAAACAACAACTTAATTTTTTTGTATGAAATCGTTACGGCCTCATTTATGTAATTAATTTTAAAAATAAAACCAAGTAAAAAACAAAACAAATTTTTGCAATAAAATAAAAGATGAAAGATATATATATAACTAATTTATAAATTAAAAAGGATGTTCAAGTGTTTGTTATTCAAATTAACTTGCACTACATAATTCTTTGAGTTAATCATCCATACACTGCCGGTGTAAAGTTTTTTACACTGACAATCAATCATATTTTTTAAATTATTTTATTTTACTTTTATTTAATTAAATGAACAAATGACTTGGTATTATTAAAAAATATGATTGATTGTCAGTGTAAAAAAACTTTACACTGACCATATATAGGTGATTAACTCTAATTCTTTTCTTCCACGAAACTCATACACAATGTAGAATAAAAACCTATTTAAATACAAGTTTATAAGTAATTTCAAGAATTTCCCTACTAAAAATAATAATTTATTTCCAGTAGAAAAGTTCTTCAACTTGTATCTAAACAAGCCATAAATCCACAAGCAAATTGTGTTAAGTAAATGAATAGAAGACTCACCCCAATTTGAGTGATGTATCTGAGCTTTCATAGTCCTGAGGAGGTCCGGTGGTGGTGGAGTTGCAGACGTAAGTAACAGACTCCGAAGACTGACCTTCATCCATAACAAAGTTCTCAGAATCGGCACCACCAACCCTTTGCCCACTAATTATGCCCGCCACCTTTGGTGCAACACATACATATATTCAACTTTATTTTATGTTTTCATTTGCACAAGTTTACGTGAGAGAATAAAACATCAACACCCAAAAAATAATATAAAGGATATATCATACATGACGTTTTAGTCGTTCGTTCTCTTCCATCAATGCCATCCCCTGAAAGTTCAATTGGAGTTGTTACTTGTTAGTCTATGAGAGAGAATCATATAAGACGTAGAAATAATTGATTGCAAATCCCCACTTTCTAACCTTTCTTTGGAGATCAGTGATCTCATTCATAATCCTCTCTCCCTGAAAACCAAAAATATCAAGTTATGAAACAAATTATTGTGCTGGTGGGGCACTAGAGAAAAAATATAATAGAATTATTGAAGACCTTCTTTTCTATAACACGGCCCAATCCAGTTTCAAGAGAGCTTTCCAGTTGTTGCAATTCTTCTATGTTTAAACCTTGAAGATCCTCTCCTCTCAGCTGCCTGAATTTTTCTTCATTGATATATATGCCTTTACAATTCTAACGAAACAAATTAATCATTTATTTATCAAATTCAGACTTGTACCTTAGTTGATGGCTCTTCTCAGCAACTTCCTTGCTCAATCTCGTGTAGTTGCTGTTTTCAACTAGCTGCAGTAAACATTTAAGAAAATAATGATAGCCATTACATTTTCAACATATTGTTCCTCTCAAATATGGAGTATAAAAAACTTCATTTTCATCTACAAAAGCCATAACTCAAGTTCTTTTTCTTTCATGAACATGGTTCATTTTTAAAAATTGATAATTAAAAATTAACTTGTGCTTGTAAAACATTCTTAATATTACTTTTATACTAAAAATATAAAATATTTTAAAAGTATTTTAGTATGATTTTTATACTAAAATAATTGAAAACGTAGTGTATGCTAATTCTCCTCTTTTATTATTATCCCACGTAGCTCCGTTGAATCCTAGTTCACTCCTATTTTAGAAAGAAAAAAAAAAAAAAAAACTCATTTTTACTATTGTTACTAAAAGAAATATAAGATTTACATTAAAATTTTATATTTATCTCTTTCTTTCCATAGTCATTGATCTATCATCCGAGTACGGGAAAAAGGATTTATTAATTTCATCCAAATTTATCTTTTTCTCTTTGTTTTATCTAATTAGTCATTAATTTCCCTATAAAACTACTCTCTTTTACTTCAAAAATGCCTCTAAAACCCTTTTACACATGTGAGTATGAGTTAATAAGTTGGAATCACTACAATTGGCCTAATATAAGGAGTTAAATGTATGAGTTCATAGGTTTTAACCTCGGTAAAAATTATTGTAAAAAAAGGTTAATATGTTATGTCATTACAATTGAGATATTCAGATCAAATATGGCTTCAGATCAGTTAAGTGGTAATGCATGTGACATCAAATTTCTTTCTCATGAAATTGTCATGAATTCTATTAATAGGAATTCAATATATTAACTGCGATTTTCTGATGTACCAAAGGAGTAAATAAACACCAAATACCAAATGTAAGTACCACCAACCTGCAACTCGAGAGATGGTTGTTCCATCCTTGCTAGGTTCTTTGAGTGCAAATGATGCCTTTCAAGTATTTCCTTCATGCTTCATAATACAAAATTAAAGTCATATCATGAAGAAAAGCCCTAAGAAAAACTTAAGTACATACACATACAAGATTGGTGTATACATAACACCATCAAATATCTTTAAGTAGGAGATATATTTTGATTTCGCTCATCTTGGACCTCATGAAGTTAGATATTGGGTATGATTCTCATTTTAAAATGATGGATAAAGTTAAATGACTATCATTTTTCAGATTGTAGTTAGGTCATATTCATTCGTGCGTACATCATGATTAAAAATTATACTCAAATCAGTACTAGGTCAATCCTAATAGATTTGCCTTTCCTGATTAAAAATATATACATCATGGTTTTGAAAAAATAATTAAACTCTACTCAACCTTAAACTGCTAATATTCCATATGTAGGCATTATATGCGATTGTGCAAGAACAAACCAAATATTTTTGTATTTATTGGTAATGTATGTGGATAAATAAAAAATAATTCGAAAGAGAGATTTTATAAAAAGTAATCAATTAGGTTCTCTGATAAAAATTATAATCATCAATAAATAATTTGAACTAATAAAATGACTAAAACAAACTATCAAACAATTTCTACTATATTTTAAAGTTATTATTATGAATTTTAAAATAAATTTGAACTAAAAAAAGTGTAAATATAATGTATTTGACCAATTCATTTTGAATCCAACGAAACGGTTGAGTTTTCATCTATTCTTCTCACATATTCTCAAGTTATAACACCAAAGATGATCATTTAGAAGATGTGTATTTAGCATGCGAGCTAGGAAATAAAAAGAAGAAAATGAAATGACTAATTTATGTTGCATTTAAATCAATTATCACTCATTTACCATTTCACCTTTCAACCTTACACGCACACGAAATTTTTTTTCACAAGTATAATAAGTAGCTGCACACATAATTAATTAATTAATAGACTTTTGAACTTCTATAATTATTAAAATAAAATTTATTAACTATAATAATTTTCACAATCTTATATATATTAATTATTAAAATAAAATTTATTAACTATAATAATTTATTTTCCATACACGGTCACAAGTCTAGTTCATACAATAATAACTCACTCAAAACACAACAATATACATTAGGACCCGATCTAAGGTACATCAAAACATAACAAATTAAGGAAAATGAATCAGATCTCTTAACCCATAATAGAATTTCTTATTAAGGCAAATGAATACGATCTAACTATAACAGTAATCTACTCTTATATTATAAAATAAAATACATACATTAAAATTGAAACTCTCCATTTTTTGAACTAAAAATCCACAATATTTATTTTTTTGTCTCTTTTAACTTGCATTTCTTATCTTTCAACCATATCAAACTACCCTTATATTATCTTATATGAATGCTAGACCATCTTTATTATCTATCCCTTTCAATCTACCTTTTTTTATTTTAAATTAGATTCCAATTATTTTTTAAAGAATTATCAATAGTTTAGAACAATCATATCCTCGTAATTTAAGTGATTCATTAAAAGCCTAAAATTGATTTATATTTTTAAAATATTTGTTTAGTATGAATTTTAATTATAATATAATTTACATATTAAAAATATTTATTATAAACTTTACATTAAAAAAAATAAAGATTTACCTGCTAGTACTTACAGAATTACCATCAGACAATAAACTAAAAAAAGCAATATGTAATCTCCCCAACCCCACCAAAAAAAAAATAGAAAAGAAAAATATAGTCCAATCCAGTTCCACAAATACAATTTGGCATGTGCGTTGTAACTGTATTCTGTCAAACTATCCAAGTAACATCGATTAAGGTTCCTCTGAAATTATAACAGACCTTTTTCCCTGTTTTCAAATTTGTGTACTATACAACTTAAAGAAAATCAAAGAAAAGCCATTATTAATATAATTTTTGCTTAGATTTTCTACAAGTAATACACAATCCTATTACTTGCGGCCTAACACCTTTTGAAAGCAAGAAGCCTCTAAATCATGAACGAAGATATGGTGGTGAAATGAAATACTGCTTATATATTGAAAAATAACTACCTATTCTCGTCATTATAAATCTCATAATTAAACCAAGGTTGATAGTGATTCGCACTGCTTCATCAAATTTCCATGGCTTTTATAGCTTGATTCTTTCATGGTTAGAACCTGAATTGTTAATGGTGACGAATTCTTTGTCAAAAAGTTAATCCCTTCTGACCTCAATTATGATATATATGATTGAAAACCAAGTAGAAGGGAGAATATTGCACAACATATATATGTAGCACTATATATAGCTGCTTTTGTCTTTCCAAAGAGCAAAACAACACAAGAATCATCAGATGAAACTGGTTCTATATATGTGCTGTTAATTTATATAGGTTGATATATTTATTCCACAAATTTTTGCATATATAGAACAACAGATATGAACTGAAACGGTTCAAATTATTTTATATATTGGAATTATATATGTTGGAATAATACAAGTTTAGACTAGTTAATTATCTGATCGGAGATAGGGCTGGGTCGTTCTAAACAAGAATTTTCCCTATGAGACTGATCCAGTGACTGATTTTCTCTCTTTTACAATTCTGACGTTTAATAATTATGCATCGAAGTAGCAACTTAGCAAATAAATGATACTTTGTATAACAATTACTGATATAGAAATAAATAAAACTTATTTGTACAACAATTTATATAATTAAGAGAGAAAAATTATTTATAATGTAATAAATCATATTTTGCAAAATAATATATTTACTTTAAAGCGAAATGGGCTAAAGCTACATATCATTCATATATAGTATGTTCATACTTCCATGGAATATAGACCAAAGCAAGCATTTATTATCTAACTCTGCGTTTCTAGACTTTGCGTATTTAGATACAAACTTATAAACTCTTTTGACAACATTTTTACCGAGAAAAAAAAAGTCCTTTATTTCTCATAAGTAAGCAATCAGAAACACTTCTAACTTTTTAGAGTCTTATTCATTATTTTATTTCCTTATCTAATACCTACCTCCCGAACCTCGCTAGACTTCGGAAACAGCAAGCAAATGATGAAACTATAAAACTACTAGATGCGTGTTTGGAACTATGGTGGAAAATCATAAAATTACTCTATAATGTGGTGGAAAATCACGAAAAGACTCCGTAGCTTCTGAGTCCTCATCGACAATCTAAACACACGGTAGAACCAGGAAAGAAAGAAGAAATCTTAAACAGTAAACAGAAAGAAACAATATAAGTGGCGAGTTGGTAACCGTGCTTCAAGTTAACCACGAAGACACGAACTATCTCCGATGTCGGAACTCTCGTAACCCAGCTTCCAAAACATAGCCTTTTTTTTTCTGGTTAACCAGACAAAAATGAAAACTGACAAACAATCTTAAGCATATAGCACCATAACCCTAGTAAACTACAACGGTTTCATGGTTTGTTTTAATTAATTATCATTACGCAAAGCATAAAGATAAACAGATCTTATCTTAACCACAAAGAGTAAAATCCAAAAAACACAACCACGGAAACCCCATCAACATAAAGAGTGAGAGAAAAAGACCTTGAGCTGGAGAACTCAAAGAGCTTCCCAGTGGAAGAGAAGATTATGAGAGCAACATCAGCATCACACAGAACCGAAAGCTCCTCAGCTTTCTTGAAGAGCCCTCTGCGACGCTTGGAGAACGTGACCTGCCTCGCCGTGGTGTTGTCGATCTTCTTAATCTGAATCTTCTCCCTCGCCATGTGCGTGTACCCTTCACCTTAACCTATCCTCATTCGGATAAACAAGGAAAGAGAAAAAGGAAAGTAAACAGCTTTAGCCTCTTTAATCACTTGCTCATACATACGGGGAATGAACCAGCATACAATCGAAGAAACCCACCGAAAAAAGCTGAGTCGTTGACTATTTATGGAGTGTTTTATGAAAAGCAAAAAAAAGCAAAGGGTGGTGGATTTTTAGTTTAGTGTGAGATTGAGAGGGACATGTGATAGAAAAATTAATGTGCAGGTGTTTAACTAAATTTAGCTTTTGTGAAATCCTAGCTCGCTCGGAGATCCAGGGAGAAGACCCGCGTGTGAATTTTTTTTTTTTTGCTTGTTGGAGGTGAGAATATGATGAGATGATGGAGTTGTGTGGGGTGAGGGTGTAGAGAGAGAGAGAGAGAGAGAGAACTTGTCACTGGACGTACTCGTGGATTTAACTTTCCTTATTGGGGGGGAAAGTTTTGATATTAGGAAATGTTGGTTTTGGTGCTGTTTGGCTTGGCTTGAGAGATGGTTCCAGATTTGATGAAAGCCACCAATGGGAAGAAGAGAGAGAGTGAGAGGGAATGTGAAAGTGTGGAAAAAGTATACCCTTTTATGGCGAAGCAGTGTTCCCTGCTCATCTCCCAAAGGTTGTAGGGGTGTCACCAATAGTTAATCAATGAATAAGTATAAATTAATGGAGTGAGATATAATATATAACCCTTATTTTCTGTTCTCGCTAACCAGAGTTACAGTAACACAGCGTATATTACATTTTTTTATTTATTAATCAGTTCTTTAACTATGATATATTTTTTTATAATTATATATATCATTAATGTAAAATATTTATGAACTTTAATGATGATTAATCTTAATTGCTTTGTCAGAAGATTGATTCACTATTTTTAGTGTGTTTGAGAGAAATTATATCTGTGACCTGTCTTTCTTAAAAAAAAAAAGATGTTTGCAATAATTAAGTTTTTAAATAGCTTTTTTATATGAAAATTTTGAAATTTATGATTATTTTTTTAACAAGTTGTTTTTAAGTTGATTTTTTTATATACAAATTTATATTAGAGTAAAACACGATTATATATAATGTTAAGGCCAACAACTAATTTTTTATTGAAAATTTGAATAAAATTATGGATCGCTTATTTATCTCCGACACAAGTTCATATAATCATATAAAAAGTTAGATTCGATTTCCTAATTAATAAAAAAAAACTTAATTTAATATATCATTATTGCATGATTTCTTTTAAAACTATTGTTTTTTTGTTATATTCAAACCAAATTAAAGATTTTAAAATTACCTTTCAACCAATTTATTCAAACAAAATTTTACTTTAATTATAATGGATTATTTTCTTTTTAAAAGATTTCAATATCAGACATTGTTTCCAAGAATAAACGAGTTGTAGAGCTGTGTCCTAAGGATATGAAACCCTGATTACTATTTTCCTTGTTTTTTAGGATGTATATTTTTTTTATTAATATCAGTAATTTCTGAAAATTCGATTTCCTATAAATACAGTGCGATATCTTGAAATAAACGATCTTTATGTTTGTGTTAAGGATACACGTAAAATGAAAAGTTTTTCTCTTCTTATAAATTTTTATATGAAAAATTATTGATAATGAATGGTGAAAAAGTTCTTAAAAAGACAGCAGGCAAACATGTATAGGTTTGATTATTATTTATTTATACTCTTAATATTTTAATCAAATGTTAAATTTACAATGATAAATTATTTAGAATAAAATACTACGTATTTAGTTTAATTATTATATTGTCTGATTTAATTTCTAATAAAAAAAACCCGTACTTTCTTTACACACAAAAAAATTCGATACTTAATCAGCTGAAGTTTAAGGTTTTTAATAACAATATAAAAGGCCAGAACTTCAATGTTAATTTGTGCGATGGAACTGGCTAAAATAACAATGAAAACAAGACAACATAATTTTTATTTTGTCCTTATTCTTTTTTTTTTAAATGTGTATAATTATTATTAAAGAATAGGCATTATTGAGGCTCATGTATATATATGTGGCTATTTTTTAAAAAATAGGAATCATAATCAATTATGACAATTATATCATAACAAATATAATTTTATTCTTATTTAAATAAATAAACAAATATATTTTTATAAATAATTTTATTTAAACATAATAAATATTTTATTATAGTTATATTATTTAAAAATAAATAAATACAATACTCACAAATAAATTTATTTAAAATATAAATAAAAATGGCTTATTATTATTATATTTATTTATATATTGTTATTATTGTTTTACTTTATTACATATATATATATATATATATATTACATAATCACTCATTTTATTTTAAATAATATAATAAATAAAAATTATATTATTATTATTATTATTATTTATTTCACTAACTTCTCAAACCTTCACTTATTTTAGAGAGAGAAAAAAATTGGGTGGAACCCAGAATTTTTTACCCAAATATTATTTTTTTTTTTTTAAAATACAAGATTAACAACTGTGCAAGTTTATTTACCAAGTTAGAACAATTTACTGTGCAAGCTCAGAATTCGGTTCCCGGAGAACCGAATTCTGAGCATCAAAGTGTTATTTTTTTTTGTTTTTTCAACTCAGAATTCGGTTCTCGGGGAACCGAATTCTGAGTTGGTTATATATATTTTTTTTTTTCGTGTTTGTGGGGAAATGTGGGCAGTTGTTGGAAGTGGAACGGCCCGTTCTGAAAGCAGAACGGGTCGTTCTACTTAAAGCCACAGAGTGAAATTTCTGAAATTGAAACGGGCCAAGAACGGGTCGTTCTAGAGTTAAGAATTAACGTTGAAATAGACCCATGAAACGGCCCGTTTTAAAGAATTTTTTTAGTCATTTTTTTTAACCTGGAACGGGCCGCTCTTGTTTTAGAACAGCCCGTTCCAAAATAGAAATGTACACATTTTTTTGCAAGTGGAACGGCCTTGAAACGGTCCGTTCCAGGAGCTGTTTTAACGAAAGGGAACGTGATTTGGAACGGGCCGTTCTGGTTTTGGAACGGCCCATTCTGGGTAAACAGTAAAAATGCAAGTTTTTCTATAAATAGGCCTTCTCCCCTTCATTTTTTTTATGCGATTTCAGCTAAGTTTGTGTTGATAATTCCATTGAGATTAAACCAACATTACAAAAATATCCAACAACAACATCCCAAAAGTTGTCATTACATACAAAACACCATATTTGACTACTTCAAATAAAACACCCTTCCAAATTGAACCAAGTTGTTACAAATTACATACATTAACACCAAATTCAACAACAACAAAAAACAACAACAATTATCAACAACTTCATCTAGCATCTTATTGACTTCAGAGAACTCTGGAGATTGTTGATCTTTCTCCTTTGCTAGGTATCAACAAATCCATTTTATCCACATATTCCTCTAAAAACTACTTGAAAAAGTTGCATCCTTGTTGTTCAGCATCACCAAACTACAAAATTTAATAACCAAAGTAACAAAACCCCAAAATCATAAATTAGGGAAAAATAAATTTAATTAATTAACATAACATACCTTGTAATTTGAACAACCCCAGAATCTTTTACCAGTATTTGCAAATGTCATTGTTGTTCGCAACACAACAACCTCCCCACAATAGCAATAGGGAACACAATACCTGCTACCATGACCTTCAGACCCACTTGAATTCATGGAGTTCATTGGGCATGAGTTTGAAGACATCCGAGACATTTTCGTTGTAGAACAGTAAATCCTATCAAATCTTGCAAATTTCAATATCCTGCAAATTTCAAGATGGGGAGAACAAAAACTAATTTGGGGAGAACAAAAACTAATTTGTCAAGAAGAAGAAGAAGAAGAAGAAGAAGAAGAAGAAGAAGAAGAAGAAGAAGAAGAAGAAGAAGAAGAAGAAGAAGAAGAAGAAGAAGAAGAAGAAGAAGAAGAAGAAGAAGAAGAAGAAGAAGAAGAAGAAGAAGAAGAAGAAGAAGAAGAAGAAGAAGAAGAAGAAGAAGAAGAAGAAGAAGAAGAAGAAGAAGAAGAAGAAGAAGAAGAAGAAGAAGAAGAAGAAGAAGAAGAAGAAGAAGAAGAAGAAGAAGAAGAAGAAGAAGAAGAAGAAGAAGAAGAAGAAGAAGAAGAAGAAGAAGAAGAAGAAGAAGAAGAAGAAGAAGAAGAAGAAGAAGAAGAAGAAGAAGAAGAAGAAGAAGAAGAAGAAGAAGAAGAAGAAGAAGAAGAAGAAGAAGAAGAAGAAGAAGAAGAAGAAGAAGAAGAAGAAGAAGAAGAAGAAGAAGAAATATTTTTTTTTTAAATATAAGAATATAATGGTCAACAAAATGTGAAAACCAAGATAGTTATTAGAAAGAATATCCTTTTATATATTAGTATAGATATATAACATTTATTTTAAGGATATATAAAAAAAAAATTAAAAACCTTACATGCAAATAAAATATCACATAAAGTTATAGATATCACTTAAAATAATCACATAATATTTCAATTGCATAAATAGTTAAAAAGAATTACATAATAATATAGACTAAAATCATAATTTTAAATCTTCAAATGATGGAAAATAAAGAAAAAAAATGTATAAATATCAAAATCAAAACATATTCATCATATAAGAACTAAAAATATATTTAAATATATAAAAGAAAACATAATTTATTGTTATTTATCATCTAATTTATTATTTGTATAATTTTTGTTGATGTGAAAATCCTATAAGTCTATTATATATAATAAATAAATAAAAAATATTTTGCAATACCACCAAAAATTTTATTTTATTTGAATTCATAAAATACATAATAATAGCAATTTAAGATATTAAGAGTCGTCTATATATTTGTTTTGGTTTTGGTTTTTTCTTCCTTTAATTGTCGTCGTTGCACGCTTCATTCTACAATATGTTACCTTATGTTGATTCTCTCATAAAAGGTTCACCTTCAAAAGAATTCCGTGTTCATGCTAAGTTTTTGTTTTTTTTTTTTTTGTTTGCATGATTTATACGAAGTATAAGATGTTCTCTTGTAATTCATCGGACGCATCAACGAACTACATAAAAAAATGGTTGAGAGGAGGAATTTGTGTGCTGCTAATTGATTCAAGAAAGACAATAAAATTTGTTATTTGATTTTAAGATATTTTCATATTCAAAATTTAATTTTTATAAGAATCTCTTTTTATATTAATTAAGAAATCAAATTTTAAAAATAGTTAATATTCATCATTGTTGAAGAAAAAAAATAATGATTGTTCATATTGTTTTGGTTCACATAGTTTATTTTTTCATAAATAATTCAGCAACATGAATTTTATTTAGACTATGTAATATAATTAATTTCAATTAATATAGATTATTTTTAACACAATCATGCAAAGTGAAATTCAAATTTATATAAGTTATTTTTAAAATTAAAATGTAATTTAATTAATATAAATTAATGACAACTTTTGGGATGTTGTTGTTGGATATTTTTGTAATGTTGGTTTAATCGCAATAGAATTATCAACAATTAGTAATGTTAGTATTGAAGCATTGCCTGAAGTTGAAATTTAAC